ATCCGCATTTTTTAAGATAAAATTTTGTTTTAGATGAAACTTTTTATAAAACGGGAGTACCGTGCTCACCTCAGATGTTCCCTCTCTGTATAGCAACTCACGTAGTACGTATATGATCGCACAAGATGTAGAAATTCTCATAATCAAACCATGAGGACTGCTCAGGTCCAGCCGGAGGGACGGGAGCAGCCGTCCGAACTTTACTGTTTGGGGCGGTTCCCGGTGGAATTTTTCGATGAAATGTTTTGAGCATGTTCCTCATCAAGTCTAGTTTGTCCATACCAAATTTCAGCTCAACATTCGACCGGGAAGGCAGTCAAATAAATTCTTGAAACTTACTGCACTTTATATATGCGCAGAATGTGCAGTAAGCTTCAAGAATTTATTTTACTGCCTTCCCGGTCGAATTTTGAGCTGAAATTTGGTATGGACAAACTAGACTTGATGAGGAACATGCTCAAAAAATTTCATCGAAAAATTCCACCGGAAACCGCCCCAAACAGGGAAGTTCGGACGACTGCTCCCGTCCCTCCGGAGGGACCTGAGCATTTCTGATCAAACCATTTTAAAGTTAAACTTATCACATAAATGGGTTTTTTTTTTTAAATTCAGGTTGGCTGATTTGGTTTATCTAACGGATAAATCAATTTCCTTCCCCAAAGTTTGAGATGTCTGGATGAAGAAGCCAGCCGGTCGACCGCTCTCTTATCTCATACAATATGTGATATTATGTAATCATACAACTCCACTTTTTCTAATAACACAACACACTCATGTTCTAATATTAGTGAGATGGAGGTGTTATCATATAATACTCCCTCTGATCTGAAATAACTTTCCTGCTTTCCTTTTCGATCCGTCCAGAAAAAATTGTCTCCTTTATATTTTAGGCAACCCATTACTCAAATACTCCATAGAATACCCTCACCCCGAACCCTTTAATCATTTCCTCGTTATACCTTTCTTATCTCTACCAATTTACCCGTCGCTCCTCATTTCCTCTCGTCTGGCCCTTCATATATCATCTCACCTTCCTCAAATTGATTGTTCATCTCTCATCTCGCTCTATGTAACCCTTGAGAAACCTCATATTTCTCCCTTGAACCTTCATGTGTGGTTGAATACTTCATCTGTCCAAACCATTATCTTCATCTGTACAACACTTGTCAGTTTTTGTAGGCTTCGTTCACCTCCGACCTTCGTCACTGTCATATCCATAGACTCATCAAAGCCAGAGGTTTGCTTCGTCTTTCCCGATACTTGTGTTGATATCCTCATGCAACCCTTTGCACCCAACCAATCTAATTCGTCTGTCAAAATCAACGATTTTAGGGTTTTGGAAGGCTCAAATCTGATCAATTTCTCCATGCATGTTGAACAGATGATGGCTGCGGAGTACTCTGATGTCCCGGACACGTATGACGGTGTTGACGAGAAAGATGAAGGGGAGGAACTCACCTCTGGGTTCGGGCAGAGGGGATGGAAGGGGTTCGAAGGGATGAAGAAGAGCTGGGTTAGGCACGTGAGGAAGGTGATGGCGTTGTAGCAACCTGTGCTCGTTACCCACCCTTGGTTGCTTCACCGTACAATCAGTGGACGCCTGAACAAAAAGCTTCATTTGATAGCTGGCTCAAGATGTTTATGCCTAAGTGGGATCCTAAACTTTGGAACAAGCAGTGGCCTTGGGGGAGTACTCTCTATAATCCTATGTTGCTTATTTTGTGGATTTAACATGCATTATGAGTGATTTCCTTTTGGTACCCCCAATTGTGTGTTCTAGATGTCTTAGCCACCCCCAATTCGTATGGATTAAGACGACTGGCTTTCCTAGACTTCTTATGTGTGTTTTGGTAATGATGAATGTCTTATAATTCTGTAAAGGGAGTTCAATGTAGTGTTGGTGTGTAAGTCACCCCCAATTCCATTGGGTTATGGTGGCTTACATTCCTACATTTAAGTGTGGTTTGGTAATGATGAATGGCTTTAGTGTATTCTGGAGTTCAATTTTGTGTTGGTGTGTTAGTCACCCCCATTTCATATGGGCTTGGGCGGCTGCTCTTCCTTTACTTATGTGTGTTGTGCTATTTATGAATGGTTGAGCATTTAGTGGAGTTTTATATAGTCTTGGGGTGCACAACCTATACTTGTCATACCTGTTTAGGTTTCCTAAGTGGCGGGTTAGGTAATGAAATAAGCAATACACTTTAATATATGCATACAAAAACTTGTGTTTGACTGATTACAACACTTCTTTCAGACTTTCACACACAACACCCTATACCACTGTCCAAAATGTGTACCGAAGCAAAAAAAACTAATGAAATGTCCCAAATGAGGTAAGGTGTCTAACATTTACCCACAAAAATTTCAACTAGACCCTTGTTCAGTGATGAAGGTGTGGATCCTCCTCCTCAACTTCACTAGTGAACAGGCTATTACCAGTCTCTTCGATAGATGGTCCAAACTGTGTTGTCCTTAGTTGGAGTTTTGCAATTGCATCATCATACACTACTTTGTCTAAATACACTGACTTTGGTAGCTATCCTTGTGCTGCTAGGTGATCTTTCTCAATGTGTGGCAGCTTGTAGTTATTCCCCCCTTGACCTTAAGTATCTCTTGCATGACTGTTTGGTAGGTCACCCATACTTTGTCCAATTTTTGAGCACTTAACTCATCATAAGTTTGATGAACAACTTTAATTAACACTATTTTAGGGGCTGCCTGATCCTTTAGAGACTGTATAGCCCTAAAAACCCCTAAGTCAAGAATGTTAAGGTCAGGGGAATTAGTAGGTTGATTGACTAACTCTATTATGAAGTTATCTCATGTGGCTATCAATCCAAATTCATCATCATTCCCATCAATGTGGGGTCTAGCATTATCTTATTGTATGATGATGTGTTTGTTACCAGACTAAGGCCACTATTGCTTAATAGCAGGGATAATCTGATGGATTAACATGTCTTTGACAACTGTTTTGGTAATACTGTTAAGTGGCTCAATCTCCAATACTCCTGCATCCCTATTATTTGACTTTCTCTATGTTGGCTTACTTTATGTGAAGGGGAACATTCCAATTATCCCATCCCAGAGTACCCATTCCTCCTCTTTAAAAACTGGTCTGCCTACTGCACACATAAACATGATTTTTTAATGATTTTTTTTATTTTCAAAACTTGTATGGATCTTCTTCTTGGGCGCCCAAATTAAATCTTCATGTTGTATTTGTCATGAAAAACCATTTTTCATCAATATGAATAACATTTGAGAATTCATGAAACCTAGATTATTGGGAATAGAGTATGGTTGAAGCTGTTTTAGGCAAAACTCCATCCTCTTCAGTTATTCCCATCATTCAGTAGTGGCTTAATGACATTTGCATGACTTCTAACCCTACCTGCCTTAACCAGTCTGTGTGTTGTGTTCTTGGACAATCCTAAGGTCATACCCAGAGACCTGATGGTTGTTCTTTTGTGTAAAGGGATGCCTAGAATTAAATCATCATCATCGTAGAGTAGTTTTTCCTTCCCACTTTACCTGCCATCTGGATTTGAACATCTATAGGCATCCCCAGCTGTATTTGCTTCTTTGCTATATTCTAGATTCTTCTCACTATTCTTGTTTGCTGATTCAGCCTCTCTGAACCTGAAAAATGGTAGTACCAGTACCTTTTTTAATGTCAAAAGTAGTTTTTGGACTATCATGTCCTTTTCTGCTGTACTCTGATTTTCCTTCTCTTTCCTTGGTCATCTGCATTTATTTCATCAATAGGAGGCTCATGTGCATTGAATGACACAATTTGTTGGTTATTTGTAGTTTTAAGTGCTGCAACTTCCATGTGGAAAGGTCTTCCACACGTGAGGGGAGAGGGAGGTAGAAGAGAAATAAAGGCCTGCTGCAGACATAAAGCTTTCCTCGGACTGTTATGGACTGTTATGTAGTCTAGTGGAAAGCTTTAAAAAAATTGGAGGGAAAGTCAAAATTTCCCTTCATTTTGTATCTTAGCTTTGATTGGATGAATTTTCCAATTTTTGTTTGGTTCTTTTACTGTGGCACCGAATTATTGTATGGTAGTGGGAGTTCTAAATTTAATCAATCATTGCTTCTTTTGCTTTATACTGTAGCAGCGCGAATTAACAACCCCTCCCCAGTTTTAAAAGCAAGGGCATTAAAGGCATTTGACTTTAAAAATCCATTTTTCTTAATAACCGTGAAAAGTCAAACCAGACGTTTATTTCGGAATGGAGGGAGTACTATTGTACTAAACTACTAATAAGCTCCCATTAAATATTGAAAAGTGTAACCATTTTTCGTGTTGGACATATGTTTTGACCACATGAAAATAAATGGAATACGTTTCTTCTAAGGTAAGTAAAAAAGTACAGAATCTAATCTCTCATCATAGAACCAAAAAGAAATTGTCCTCTCATCCAAAGTCACGGGAAAAGCGTATACATACCTATTAGAAAACAATTACCACTTCTAAATAGCAAATTAGTAATCAAATATTAAAAATAATATATCTATAACATTACATTTTTATCATTGACTTCATTACTATATCTGCTCATTAAAATTATTTTTGAAAATATTCTCGAATTATTTATTTACTTATTGTTTAAATAATTATACTATTTTCAACGAGAAGCTTAAAGTCATAAACATAAATGAGATACTCAATCACAACTTTTACTTTTCAACCACTTTATTAATAACCGTGTCAAATTAAAAAAAGACATTCATTATGGGACGAAGGTAGTAGTATATAATTTTCAGCCTTTTAGGAACTAATTAATCGTGTAAATTTTACATTGAAATTTGAATTGAATATCACAATAAACGTACATAACTCAAAAAACTATGATGAAAGTGTTAAACATTTATGCACTTTTACGTATATGCGAACATTTTTTGTTATCAAAAGTAGCATTTCCGTACAATCTTCATAGCGCGCAGTTCCTAATTTCGAATTTCGGCCATTTTTTTATCTCTTCCTTCATCCCAACTCCAACCTCTGGTTCTTCAACTTTCCGATTATCGGCTCTACTTTCCTACCTTGATAAACCAGTCTCTCTTGCAGCTCATCAATCGTGTAACCAGTCATAATTTACTAATCAAGCACCAGAGAAAAAGCTTCAACCTTCATTCACATGGCCTCCTATGCCCCGATCATGTCCTCCTACGATGGCCGCATCAGACCACTACTCGACTGCATCGACAAGCTGCGCAGCCTCAATATCAGTCAGGAGGGCATCCAGCTTCCGACCATTGTGGTCGTCGGCGACCAGTCCTCCGGCAAGTCCAGCGTCCTGGAGTCTCTGGCCGGAATCAGCCTCCCCAGGGCGCAAGGGATGTCCACCCGGGTCCCGCTCATCATGAGGCTCCAGAATCAGCCCGACCCGGACAGCCCGCCGGAGATACATTTGGAATTTGGCGGGAAAATCGTCCCGACGGACGAAGCCCAGATTGTGGACGCGATCACTTCTGCCACCGATGAGATTGCCGGGCGTGGGAAAGGGGTTTCTCGGACCCCTTTGACGCTGACGGTGAAGAAGTGTGGGGTTCCTGATCTTACAATGGTGGATTTGCCCGGAATCACCCGGGTTCCGGTCAGGGGCCAGCCGCACGACATCTATGAGCAGATCAGAGACATGATTTTGGAGTACATAACCTCCAAGGAGAGCATTATACTGAATGTTTTGTCTGCCACAGTTGATTTCCCAACCTGTGAATCTATTCGGATGTCCCAGAAAGTGGACAAGACCGGGGAGAGGACCCTAGCGGTGGTCACTAAGGCTGACATTGCTCCACAAGGGCTTCTTGAAAAGGTTATTAATTTAGACACTCTTTCCATCCCCAAACAATATCTCACTTTAATAGCATACATTCGGGCATTTTTAGTCTTATTTTTTTTTTGTATGTGTATGAATAATTTAATTATTGTGTCAATCTTGACTGTCATCTCACAGGTCACTGCTAATGAGGTTCAAATTGGGTTGGGATATGTATGTGTTAGGAATCGAATCGGTTCCGAATCCTACGAGGATGCTAGAATCGAAGAAGCTAAGATCTTTGATACTCATCCCCTCTTGTCCAACATTGACAAGTCCATGGTCTCCATTCCAGTTTTGGCTGACAAGTTAGTGAGCATCCAGGAGAGGATCATCTCAAAATGTTTGCCTGACATTGTTAAGAAAATCAATGACAAACTTGAATCAAATTTGGCTGAGTTGAACAGATTGCCACCAACACTAACGTCCATGTCAGAGGTGTTGGCTGTGTTGGTGCGGGTTCTGAACTCCACCAAGAATTCACTGAGCAAACTTCTACTTACAGCGGACTTTGAAGAGTATCTTGGGGAGACAGATATGCACGGCATCGCTAAGATAATGGAGATGGTCAATGGGGGCACCACTGTCTTGAAATCAGAAAATCTTGAAAATAAAGGCGGGAAAGGCTTCTTGATGGACGAGATCTCTGAACTAGAGATGGGAGGGTTATCAAATTTCCTTCCTCATCGGGCCTTCATCTATATGCTGCAGAAAAGGCTCAATCAGATATCCCCGCTTTTAGTTAAACTGGTGGGAGATATCTGGATGTATATTGGAACAGTTGTGACCAATGTACTTTTGCTTCATTCTAAAAACTGCCCGCAAATTCAGTCTTGCACAACGAGAGCTGCTGAAAATTTGATTGCGAAAAAGAAATCAGGGTCGATGAGTTGGGTAATGGAGATGATTGGAATGGAGAAGTTGGGGAACTACACCTGCAATCCTGAGTACTTTGCAACCTATGACACTCTCATGCTTAAGCAAGGACAATTAACTGAGTCTGGTTTTGAAATCGCTGAAATTGGAGCTGGTGCAATCGAAGTTGGGCATCTCAAGAGTTATCGACCAGATGTGGTGAGACAAGCATTCGATATAAAGATGAGAATGGTGGCGTATTGGAAGATTGTGCGAATGAGGATTGTGGATGGAATGGTGTTGCACATCCTGTTTACTTGTCAAAAGCTTGTGGATAAGGAGATAGAAGATGAAGTTATTAAGGACTTAACCGGGCATGGAGGCATTGAGAAGATGCTTGAGGAATCGGCATTGGATGCTGAGAAGCGTCAATGCTTGCTCAAGAGCATCGAACTACTTGAGGAATCCAGGGATGTAGTCGCCAAGATGATGGACAGGATCACTCTTACTAACGAGTAAAGGAATCTTGTTTGTTTTCTGAAAGTAATGTTTATTATTGTATTGTTCATGGGTAAATACCCAACCTCCCATACATCCACTGCATCATATCATTGTGTGTACTGTACAGAGTAAACTTTTACAACTGTTAAATACTTAGAAAGGAATGTGTGTGTTTAAATGAGTAGTTATCTAGAGCAATTATGTGTATGATGATTGCAAATGACACTTTGGGATTTGAATACAAATTGCAAAAAGGATTTTCTGCTCAAGTAATTATTCAACACAAACAAAAAGGAAATAAAGATCTTAGAATCATGAGCCGAAATAAACCAACAAAAATATAAAAATAACAACAACATGCAAGTATTGGTACAAAGATTTAAAAAACTAAAAAGATAGATAAAAAAATGATAATGATAAAAAGATATAAAATAAAATAAAAAACAAGCTAAAGATAAGATAAAGAAAATATAAAGGTAACAATGCCAAAAATTATTATGTCAAGATGAACTATTAATTACACTAATAGATTACTTTCCAGGCTTCCATTGTTTTTTGGGGGATAATGGAGAGATAATTAATTTGACATTGATCGGAATTCATACTTGGAAACCTTCAAGGGTAGTGAAATCAAAGTATACTTGCAGAACCTTCGGTGCGATAAAAATTAAAAAGTAATCATTTTCTATCAAACTTAAAGTGGAAAAATCTTATCCTTTCATATCCGTTTTGACCAAAGAAAAGTAACTGGAATCACTTTCCTTCTAAGGTAAGTAAATACCTACAAAGCGAATTCCTATAATACTTTTCGAGGGTAGCGCCAAACCATATTTCCAATCGGAGACTTGTAAGATGATTCATATGAATGTCATTCACTTAATCTGATTTCTCTTACATACAAAATGATAGAAACTTGTTAATGTTGCACATAAAATAAGACATTAATTGCAGAAGCAATCTTCCTGCATATGATCAATCAACTAATCTTGTCGTGATATAAACACAATTATATCTTGTCTTGATATAAACATTCATAGAAGATACGGCATATTATAAGATTGTCTACCTTGATTAATTACACAAGTGAAGATTGTCTGCCTTGATAAAAATGGTACAGCATTTAAAGACCGAGTTTCTTTGGTCTGGGGTAAGTGGAAGCGCCTTTCTTCAAGCCAGGCATTGAAATTTGTTGTTGTTGCCTTGCCCTCTTCTCCTTCTCCTTTTCCTTTTTTCTTCTCTCATTCTCCTCTTGCACATTCCTCAGATTTTCTAGTTCTTCCTCCATGGCTGTTTTCTCTTCCTTTTGTTTCTTTTTGTGTTCTAACATAGAAGTATCTGAGTCCTTAACAGAGAAAAACATGGGGCCCATCTCAGCTAACCACTGCGGTTCAACTGACGTAACACACTGCATATACTCCTTTGTCGTCAATATCAACTCATGATACACAACATAATCTGGCGTGTAACCCAACCCATAAAGTGCACTGGTGGGATGCAGGTGACATGGCATACCGCTCCTACAATTTACATATTCACCCACACCCTTAAGTCTAGCTGCATTGTGAAAATATGCAGAGCAGATTGCCTTTCTCACAATATCCCAGTCCGGGCCACATGAGGTGAGGGGGATTTTGAGCGTCGTGAGGATATCCAGCAGTTGAGATCTCACCTCCCTTGCCTTACGCAGACCTTTGACATGTAAGAAATGGTCGTTACACCAATCGCCCCTGTACTGATTTGCCTTCCATTGCTGGTACACATTTAGCAGTGTGAGATGATCAGATTCTGGCACAAAGAACTTCTCCCGGGCAGCATCACTCTCTTCTGCCCGATCCTTGGGTCTGAAAAAAACCGAAGGTACTGAAAGCATTGCTACAATGGTGAGGACTTCATCCAAGCACTCCAGTTGTTCTCCCATCAGAAGCATCTTAGCAAGAGGCGGGTCCAACGGGAACTCCACCATTTTCCAGCCAAGACCAGTTAGGTCACCAACATTACTAAGCGCGCCCAATACCCACAGCTGGTACATGGAGTTGAGGATGTTTTCCTGAGGTGGTGGATCCATAAAATCAAAATCTAACAAATTTGAGATCTTGAGAGACTTTAGCAGTAATACCACATTTCCAAGGTTTGTCCTTTGGATTTCTGGTACAGGGCTTGGAAGCATCTCGTTCAAGTATGCACTCTCGGTATAGAGTCGGTAGCAATTTCCAGGCCCTGTTCTACCAGCCCGCCCTGCTCGCTGGTTTGCCGCTGCTTGACTGACCGGAAGCACTTGAAGGGCATCCATACCCATGCGCGGATTGTACACCTTCATCTTGGAGTAGCCGGTATCAATCACATAGAAAATCCCATCAACGGTTAAGGATGTCTCAGCAATGTTTGTGGCGACAATGCATTTGCGTTCTCCTTCCCCGGCCTTCTGAAATATCTTAGCCTGCAAATCAGCAGGTAGTTGGGAGTAGATGGGAAGGATGAGTAGATTGGCTACAGATTGTTTAGTTGAGGTCACTAACTGTTCCATTCGCTCTTGAAGTGCATAACACGTAGCTTCAATCTCATCTTGACCAGTCATGAATATGAGTATATCACCTGGAGCGCTAGTTATGTGGATGGTCATAGCCTGCGTTACTGCAGCCTCTACATAATCTTCACAAGGAGTTTTGCTGTACATATGTTGAACGGGGAATGTTCTACCTGGAATGTTGAAGATTGGTACACTTCCAAAAAAGTCAGAAAATTTCCGTGAATTCAGCGTGGCAGATGTCACAATAAGCTTAAAATCACGACGCCGAGAAACAACTTTTTTAAGTATGCCAAACAGCACATCAGTGTATAATGATCTCTCATGTGCTTCGTCCATCACAACGACACTGTATTTTTCAAGATCAGAATCCTTTAGTGCCTCCCGTAGAAGCACACCATCTGTCATGTACTTGATCACAGTGTTTGGTCCAGTCACATCTTCAAAACGAATGGCATACCCTACTTTATCACCAAGCGCAGTTTCCATCTCTTCACTAACTCTCTTTGCGACGCTCATAGCTGCTACACGCCTAGGTTGGGTGCAACCAACTATCCCATTCTTTGTGTAGCCGTCTTCATGTAGGTACTGAGTCAATTGTGTAGTCTTGCCTGAGCCAGTTTCTCCGACAACTACCACAATCTGATTTTCACGAACAACCTGCATAAACTCGTCGCGAACAGAAAATATGGGCAAATACTGCCTCTGCTGCAAGAGTGTTTTGGACTTTGCAAAGTCGCTCACTGCTTCCCCTTTCTTTAGGTGCTGTGAAAATCTAGCTTCCTCCTTGAAGTCAACCTCACCTTGTTCACCCACTGCAGCAGTATCTGCATCAACCTGTTCAGCTGTTTTTTCAACCCCTAAGATATCACCAAGTTTAGATCCAGCAAGTTCCCAAAACCGTTGACGAGATTTATGCATACTTTGTTTTTCATGTATTTCACGAACAAGAGCTGAGCCTTTCCTGGATATTATGGCCATATCCGATGTAGGGTCCTTGATGGGCATTACTGGTTCAGCTTGTTTTGTGAAGACAATTCTTCCATCCAGAAAAGGGGGTTTTGTATCATGGACTAGGAGGATAACCTTCCTTTCATCCTCATCATCAAATTCTGTTTGCACCTCAGTGCCTTTAACAGCTCCAGATCTCAGAAGCTGCCTGTCTTCCCACCGTGCATTGTCTGCATTTAGCTGTGATAGCTTCTTGCTCCGAGAAAGTGACATTTTTGTGCCATCCTTTCGAGTAAGCCTTTTAGCCCGGTCAGCCTCTTTCTTTTGAAAAAATGCGGCATCACCGAAAAACAGTGATGACCTATCCATGTCAAACACACTGCTCCCCTCTTCTCTATCATACCATTCCGTCCATTCACGGTCAGAAATCTTATCCATCTCCATACGCATACTTTCAGAGACCTCTCGATTCCTGTCTTCTGACCTGCTGACTGTGTCATCTCCTTCCTCAGACAACACAGCAATTCCAATGTTAGTAGATACAGAACCCCGATTGGATTTCACACCATATCGAGACCCTGATGCTCGTACAGGAATTGGCGATGGAGCTACACTGTCCCAAGGAGAAGCAGCTCCGGAACTAGGTGTATGGCTTCCCAACCATGGGGAAACAAGTCGCACATCCGGAGAGGCTCCAATAAACATAGGTGATGGTGAAGGATCCCTGCGAGGTGTATCATCCCAGCTAGATCTTCTTCCATGTGTGTTCCTGGGGCTTTCATGTCTACTTCTTTTTCTCCTGCTGTCATCATTGTAGTCGTTTCTAACATAATGTGATTTGCGCTCCGGTTGTCTGAAAACAACTCGACGATCCTTCCCAGGAATACAATCAGCTTCCATTGTCGTATCGATGTGTATATTCTCTCGCTCTCCTGATTTCGGCATGTGCAAAGTTTGAAGCAGAATCAGATTAACACTTGTAAACCCTTGGCGCCGGTTGGTTTGTATTTAAAAGTGTTGAGAACTCCTGGTCGACAAAGGACAACGCTGAATAGTTCCCTAAATTGCATTTTGGAAGTTTTGCTAATCATCTTCTAATCAAATCTTCATTATAATATCTTAGATTCTCTTTCCAATTTAATATACTATCTATTAATTATAGAAAATATTACTAGTAAAAGGGGTTGAAAGTTTCAAAATAGGACTGTCATGTTTGTATTCCCAAAATAAGACTAATTATTATCATGTTTTGCCAGTACCAGATTTCAAATATGACAGTATTTTTTAAACTTGGCAGTAATTACTCCTGTTTTGGAAATAAAAAACATAACAGTTCTATTTTGAAATTTTCAAACTGTTTTTGTCCTATTTCGGAAGCTTTCTCTTAATTATAGTGTCGTTACATTGGTATTAAAGTTGGATTAGAAGTCATTTACGTTAATTTAGGACTAATCTATACGGTTGAAATCCTAAAGCTTCCTACAGTTGTGCAACGAAAAAAATAAAATCTCATATTTACTTTAAATAGTTTTAACTTTTTTTAATTTGTATTCTGATGATTACAAAAAATATATCAAAATTCATAACTTTTTTTATCGTTCATATGACACCAATATTGAATATATAAAAATAAAAAAATAATTTTACACTTTAAAAGAAAATATCTATTTAATTAAAGTGTTAGAAAGTATATCTTCTTTTATTTGTACTATCATTGTTA